GAAAGGGAAAGGGAAAGGGAAAGGGAAGGGGTATTTTCCCATACTGCCAAAGCTGAGCATAGGTGCTATGAGAAAAACAAACGAGTATGGCGAGACCACAAAAAGTCCCTGCAGCAATCAGCATGGGGCTATGCAAGTCCTGGCACGGCCACTCCGTTTTCAACATTTTCAAGGGGAGCTGCACGTGGTGCTCAGGAACGACCTGGACACAAATCTTTCCTCTGGGCTGCTACCAAACCCCAGCTACCCATGGGCGAACCTCCCCTCTCAGAACATCAGGTGTACGGACAAATGAAGAACATAGCTAAGCACAGTTGGATGCAATTATTCTCCTTCCTTCTCAGCCTCATTATTTCTACTGCTCAGCACATTCCCTGGGAATGAACCTTCCAGAGTATTTTAGGATGCGATGCCTCCTTGGCGCCTGTTCCCTGCTGCCTCTCCTCATCAGCCACCTTCAAGCAACAGCCTCACCTTCAGCTTTCTAACATGATTATTTCACCTTCAATCTTACCCAACTTCAGGGGCATCAAACATCGGAGCAGATGGTAGAGGCTAAAAAAAAAAAAAAAAATCACATGGCATTTGCTTTTTCCAAGCCATCCTGTTTCCCAATTTAGACTGAAAACAAATCCGATCAGTCAAATCCAATTCTAGCTGGGCTATAAGTCTGGAAAAATGGATTATGCAAAACGTCTGACATCAACAGCTTGATGTGAATGTTGAATTGAGTTTGGGAGGAGATCAAAGTGTTTACACCTATGGATTTAAAAATAGGGCGAAGACTAAAGCATCTTGAGATTTCTTGGCAAAAGATTACACAATTGATAAGAGGAACAATTTTCCACCGGGTTATGCCAGCACTAACACAAGTGCTATCTGCCCTGCGCACCACTACTATCATAGCTCTGCCCAGGCTGGAGGAGGAGAAGGCAATCCTGTGTCCCACTGCCAAGTCCCACACTGAACCCTAAATTCAAGGTTCCTACTTCAGTCCTGGTGGGGTCAAAAGAGGGGTTATCTCATTGCAGAACTGTCAGCTCACTTTATAGTAAGCACTGATTTAAAAAAAAAAAATTCTGAGTGGAATTGATCATACACATGCTTTCCACTGTCATTACGTAGAAGTTAAACAGAAGATACTCCTGTCCTACTTTGCACCTGCAATAGCATCACCATCTCTGCCTTATATTTGTCTTATCCAGGTTAGCTGTTACAATTAACACCTCCCTTAAATTCATTATGCCAAACTTAAAAACATTTTTGGTCAGATGCTCCTTAGACGGGCCCTCACCTTCATTCTGAGAGACAAATGAATACTACAGAACAGAATCTGAATAAGTAATTATTTATTAAATGCACACGTTGTAAAATTTCCACCACCAGCTGTGGCAGTGCTCAGTGTTAGGATGCCCTCTACCACCCCAGCAGAGGACTGCTGGCGCGGGGGACACCAAAGAGCTGCTTCAGCGCCTGCTCTGGCCAGGTGACCAGAATTAAAAAATTAAAGCAATTAAGTAAAACTGCAGAATGCAACTGTAGCAAGTAAATACCCACTTAAATTGTGCAGGAAGCAGAAGTAAAGCATGTCTTGTTGATTGAAATGCTGAGACTTGAGGAACTAGAGATTTGTATCCTGTTGTGAAAACATTTGTGCACAGGTTGGAAAATCATTAGAGTGAATCTTTTCTTCCAAGTCCTCAAGTCAGAAGTAAGATTTTTCTTTCAGATCTTTGGCTGATAAACTATTGACTTGAATGAGCTGTAAACAGCTGCCCTAGAGTAGCAAAAACTAGAAGTCTAATCTGCTCTGGTAAGTAAGCATGCCACAAGTGTGTATTTACAGAGAACTCTTAGAAAGGCTATTTAGAAGTGGAAATGTATATGGACTTGAACTCCAGCACTGATTGTGTCTTACCCCAAATACTTCATGTTCCTGAATTTAAACATTGGTTAAATTGACAAGACTGCAAACCAGCAAACTAACTAATGAAAGATACTACAGTCATAATTAAAGGCCACAAGAAAAGGATTGCAAATCATAGAATAGTTTGGGTCAGAAGGGACCTTCCAAGGCCACCTACTCCAACCTCCCTGCCATGAGCAGGGACAGCTTCAACTAGAGCAGGTTGCTCAGAGCCCCGTCCAAGCTGAACCAGAATGTCTCCAGGGACGGGGCACCTACCACCTCTGGGCGACCTGGGCCAGGGTTTCACCACCCTCATTGTAAGAAAACATCTTCCTTATATCTAGTCAAAATCTCCCCTCTTTTAGCTTAAAACTGCTACCCCTTGTCCTACCACTAAAGTATTTCCACGGATGTGACTTGGCCCACTGATTCTATGGCAAAATTAAAAAAACATATAAACCCTTATGTTATTTTTCTGGGGAAATTCTTGTTGCAAATAATCCATATAAGTCCAATAAAGGTGAACCAAAATACTGGTTCAACTCAAATTCTTTCCGCATACATGTACAGGTGTATGGGTCAGCCGTAAGAACAGCAGAGCTCAGCCTACAACCTGTGCGAATTGTGTCTGTAGCTGTTTAAGTGCAGCGTAGAACCACTGTACTACTTCAGTAACTGACTTGGCTTTTCCTGTCACTTGTTCCATTCTGATGCTGATAAAGCAGGGCTAATCTCATTGCAGAGACACCCCAAGCAAAACTCTGCTCTTCCCTTATCTCTCCTTCCACACAAAACTTCTCCCACACAGTGAAAGTCCTGGAGCTCCTTGTGCTCATTCAGTCTTCACAGGGCAGGAAAAGTGTTCCAGAGTGATGATTCAGTAAGAAACAGGCTCAAAAGGAGCGGAATCACCCTTGTGCAAATCTGTCCTCTACACGTGGCTGCCAAGAGGCACCATCTCGCTGCTGCTCGGTGTTTGGAAATAGCCTTCTTCCAGCCCCACAGAAACCCAGGTCTCTGAACAGGTACGAGGAGCAGTGTCTGGTCCACAGGAAGGAGACGTAAGGAGTTACCGCTCCACCTGCCCAGCCCACACCTTATATTTTCCTCAACTCTGTGTACTGTCTTGGCTATCCCTTATAATCCAATTCTCTTTTTTGATAGCGATATGTTGGTGTTCAATAACTTTACACTAACGGTATAATCTAAATATTCACACATATGGCTATGTGTAAGAGACATCCTAGTGTATAAAGCCGGCCAGACCCCCTCTTTCCTTGTGACTTTTGGTTCGACGTGTTTGCATCTCTGCAGGCACGAATGATGCAAACACTAGTCTGCGCTGGAGACGGCACCACTGCATCTGGATTTCTCACCGCCAAATCCCGTCTGTCATCGGAATAAAATCCTGCCCAGGATCCGCTGCAGGAAGCCACAAAAAGTTTGTTCCTTGGGGTGAACCAAAAACCAGACCTGGCAAACAGTATTTTGTACGCAGAAAGACTTATTCATGGGCCAAAAGGAGTCTCTGGGTACCAGCAGTACGCAGCACATGGGTTTTAGATTGAGATATGGCTTCTTAAACCACTGAAGTTTTCATGCGGATGCTGAGATTGTATTAAGAAGGAAAGCCACGACCACCCTGGAGTAAGAGAGCCACAGTTGTAGTCAGCATCACATTTTCAGCTGCATCAAAACTGAATTCTCTCAGAACAAAGCACTCTTTCTCCTCTGCTCAGAGATCCATCCCCCAGGGTTTACATCCATCTGCAACATCTTCATCACCCACTTGTCTCTCCTGGCCCCATCAATGAACTCATCAAGCGACAACTGCCCTGCGTACAGATGAGGAGGACACAAGATGGGGAGACAAAACATGGCAGATAAGACAGAAGAAAAGGAAGGCAAGAAGTAAAAACCATCTAAGTTTGAGAAAATATACTAAGAGGACAAAAGCTATGCTTCATTTCCCCATGTAGCTTAGGCCAGAGAGCCAAAAGACAAACCACCAGGCTGTAACCCAATGCATTCACACCTACCCCATCCCATCGGCTAACGTGAAGCGTTGCACGAGCTTACGCACGCTCCTCCAGGAGGATTACAAGTCTGATCCTGCAAGCTCCGATTTGTCTGGAGCCACTTTCTTTACCCAGGCTGTTTGTGCCAGGACGGGGACCTGCTGGGGTTGCTTTCAGAGGAGATCTGTGCAGCCTCCAAGCCCAGAGTAGTCACCCCTCTGACTTTACATTAAAATAACAATGAGGATTATTTCCTCCTACTGCACCAAGTTACTCTCAATTCTAACAAGCAGACCGGAACCAAACCCAGTGTGTCTAATATGAGTAACATAGTCCTAAGTGATTTATTGATAGACATAATTAAAGGAACCTGCCCAGCAGAGATAACTTCTTATTACGCATGAATGCAATCCGGGCCATGGATCACTTACCATCCCCATTTTCATCCACTAACTGAAATATTCTGTCCACAACCTCCTCTGGTGTGAGCAACGGAGTCCTCTCCTCCACCTCCGACCAACACACTTTCTTCAGCTTGTAGATAGACTGAAAATAAGTTCACAAATTAGGACTGGAAAATGAAAAGCAGTGGTGAACTCCATTATCTTCCCAACAGCGTAAAGGTCTTTTACAAAGGTTGTGGTTTTAACCTTTCCGGAGAGATCTGCCTCTCAATAGCCCCAGACCTTGACTGAAACCCACAATCTTATGCTCACACACACTGCGGATTACTTCATTTACTCTTTGAAGCTGCTGCCCTCTCCTATTTTCCTTACACACCGTGGTCGGACCTCAGGGTTCCTTTGCAAAGAACAAGGCAAGAGTTTCACAGATGGGAAAATCATCTGATTTTTCTAACATCTTTTCTAACATCTGAGGCCAGGCACATGTGGATTTACCCAACCCTCTCTCCCAGGGAACTTGTGCCCAAGCTGCAAGATCAAGCCTGTAGTAGCACGTATTTTGACCCATAGTCTCTGTGACACTTTGTCCCTGGAAAGGGGCGGATTTTAGCTATTCCTTCCCCTAACAACCACCTGTCCATTGCTAACTTTACTCCTTAGGCTGAAGGGTTTTGTCTGAAGTCTTCCCAGAAAGGGGATTAGCAAGAGGCTAACACAGCTCTGGCCAATTCTTCCCTGACCTCAAATATCAAAGCTATAACTGAGCCTGCCCCAGAGCAGCTCCCCAGGTGCTCCCATACCTGCTGCTGGTGCTGCAGGTGACCCACTGGTCACACTTCCCAGCCAGGAGGACCTGCTGTCCACAGAGTCCATTTGTGATGTTTCCTTGGTATTGCATTTCACCTAAGATCCTAAAGTGTTTGATAACCATTAGTTAAGCCTCAAGTACCGCTGTGCAAGGGTAACAGCAGCTGTGCTGCAGGAGGGACTAGCACGATCACCAAGATACTTACCTGAAGTGAGAACCCAGGTACCTCGTGTCTGTCTGCTAAGCCCCATGCCCCCTCGCACCTTCACCAAGTCACTAATTCTGCTAAGTGCAGAACATAACAGAAACCCAGAAAGGAATAATTACAAAAGGGGTTTCTTGCTAATTTGTGCCTCTCCGTGTATTCTCACCAGCTACTCGGGCAGGAACCTTAGCTCCTGTAAGGAGCACGGGCTGAAACCCTCTTCCACTGGCCACTCCAATGAATCTTGGCACAAAAAGGTTGACAGAAAAGGCAGAGCAGAGACACAGGAACTCCGCAACAGCACCCAGATGCTGCACTTGTGGACAGCTTGGAGCAGCGGGGGCCCAGGCTGCCCACGGTGGGTTCAACTGATCCCACAGCCACCCCACCAGTCTCCAAACCACTGACTACATGACCCTTTCACCAAGGTCAGGCATTTTCACTCATGACTGCCCACAGCTGCCTTGAAACCTGATTTTCACAAAACCCATATACATCATTACATTGCCAAAGAACTGCGATTGCTTAAATAAGTATTAGGAAATGCCTACTCACCTCAACAATTTCCAGCAGCTCAGGTTTATCTATGCAGCCATTCCCATCCTTGTCATATACTTTGAATGTCCACCTCAGCTTGTGTTCCAGTTTTCCTCGTAAAACAAGATTCAAGGCAGCTACATATTCCAGAAAATCAATGGTATTATCCTGTAGAAACAGAAAAGCAGCTGAAGGGCACTATATACCAACTTAGTCGACAGAAAACTGCTTACAAAATCTAGATAAAGAACTGTCAAGATGATACGGGACAGCTATTTATTTTCCACTTCACAGAAGACTTGTGCCAGTCCAAGATCATCAGTAAATGCAGCCATACCCCTCCGCACCAAGGATGAGTTCCCAAGGAGTGACAATGGAAAGCAAAGCAGTTTTCCTACAGTGCAATGGGGGGGACAGCTGCCAGGACTCCAGAAATGAGCAATTTAAATACCTCAAGACAACACTGATTACACGGAGGGTGGGCAGGCAGATGAGGACCAGTGCAGGAGCCGTGGACTTTTTGGGACAAGATTGCCATTCTCAGTGAGCTCAGCAGCTTCACCGATGAGACCAACACCCAACCACTACTCCTTTCTTCCATCCTTCCCCCTTGTTTGATCTTGGTTCATCCAAGGAAGACAGTGAAAATGTCACTATCCAAGAGGAGACAGCAAAAGGATTTACATCAGGTGCTCATCCTCCCAAAAACTTCAGAGACAGTGAAGGGATGCAGGGCTCCCTCGGCAGCTCCCAGCAGACCAACACCATCCCCAGGGCTAAGACGGGGCCCCACGTCACCTTCCAGCCCTCCAGACCCTGTTAGCAAAACCGCCTGGAAGATCCAGGCTACGTATCTCCTCCCCACACGCTCTGCAGTAACTGTGAGCAAAAGCCACTACTGCTGGACTTCGAAGGCCAGTAAGCATGAAAAGACAATTGAAGATTTGTTTTTATTTCCTTACCCTATTACTAATAATCCTTTAGATTGTTAAGGCCTGCTCAACTGATTATATACCATGGGCATATTTAAGCAAAGACATGAACCTAGGCCTAATTTAGTGTTGTGAATATATGCAAATACTAGCAACCTTTAAAAACAGATTTTCAGACTTACTAGGAAAACTCCAATAAACTAGGAACGGGACTTTGCCTCTTATGCACACTGTTTGCTCTGCAACCCTTTCAGCACAGCTTTCGTAACATAATTTGGATTTGGACCTTCAGTTTCTTGCAGGAACTTGGATTTTGCCAACTTCAAGTTCTGAGAAAAGGCGGATCTGCCCACACCTTCTGTAGCTTTTTTATCCTTTCTCACAAACTGGCTTTTGTTACCACCTCAATGTGATTTTGCCATTGGCTTCAAAGGAAGCTTAAGGGAAATCGGTTTCTCTGAGAGATGGTGTACTTGCCTCCCCTTTTCTTGTGTTGATATCCAGCAGCAAACCACCCCGTACTTCAAATACGATCAAGAGCTTCAGAAAAAAAAATGAACAGTTTGGCAAGCATTGCTTACCCATTCCAAGATGAGAAAGGCAACCATATTACATTTCCGTTGACTATCTAACGTATCACGGGCTAGTATTATGCTATCTTCTGCACCAATATACGGGTATGCATGAACTGCTACTAAACCAGAAAGCCCACTTTCCCAGGTGTCTGATGACAAATACAGCAAAGGGAATCAAAAGCAGAATGTCTGAATTGTTCAGCATTCCTTCACTTTTGAGCAGCTAAAATCAATATTTTGTTACATACCTCCTGCTCATACTGTGTATATATACACTTCCTCCAATGTATAACAAGCCTGAGTAGGACATTCCTGCATTAGGATTTCCCCTCTAGCATAACTGATAATTTTTTTTTCCATGTAGTATGACTGCCTAAATTTCAACCTTTTAATCCATCCTTAGTCCCTTAAGGGGACAGTCTGTCCTTAGTTTATGTATAGATTTATGAGAGGATAAATCCACACCAGCCGATACAGAGCAGTGCAGCACGTGCCCTTCTCCTGCCCTAGCAGATCCATCACCCTCGCCTGGGTCTCATGAAGCATGGTAACAAGGGTGGGAACTGCACCAAAACACCTCCAAATTACAGAAGAGAGAGGTGCAAATTATTACACAAGAAATTGCAAAAACTCCTGACCACTTACCCCATTCTTATCAAAAGCTCTGAACATGCTTTCAACATACTGTGCTGCTTCATGGTTATCCTGGACCCCAAAGAACTGCTTGAATTCATGCATGAAGAGGGTCCCACTGGGACATTCAACCACGAATTTCTTATACCATTCCTGCAATTCAGCAACATCAATATCTGCTTGCTCCCCTTCGGCGTTGGTGAAGTTCTGTCCCATTTTGCTCCCTAAACCAAGATCAAAAAAAAGAAGAAAGAACAAAAGGAAAACCCTGCCAAAGTCCTTTGCTTGTGTTAGTTCTTTTATCACCTTTAGTTGCTTTTTCTTTGTTCTTTTTCTTCTTGCTGTCTTGTGACGTTAGTGCTGTGTCTTGCTATTTCAGCTTGGGTTTTTTGTGCTTTACTTTCTTCTTCCTTTCTCTCCTATGGTTTTCCCCACCACAGTTTTGTGTGCTTGCTTGGTGATCATAGAGTTGCTTCTCTGCATTAGGGCGGTAAAACACGTGGTATCAGACAGGTATAAAAATAACTAAGATCATTAGGAGATTCCCCCCATGACTCTCAGAGACCTTCATCTGTTCTGAGCTGGGCCCTATTTAGGAGCAGACTCCAGAGGCTCAGAGTCTGTCTGCACTTGAAAACCTTCATGTGCAAGAATCTGTGAACCAAGCTTCCCTTTGCACATGACATACAACCCTACTCGCTTCACTGTAGTTTTTCCAGAGGGGGGGAAAAAGGGATTGTAAGTGAACTCCCCTAACATCAGTTTTTCAGTACTGGCAGGGGATACTCAATGTTTCAGTGAAATAGGGCGTAGTAACAAACAATTACAGAGAGCAAACCCTGAAAAAATAAGCACATACAACTAACACCACTCACATGAAAAAACCTGCTAGCACTTTATGTTAACTGAATGCCTACTATAGGCTTTACTCTATGCAAAGTGATTGAGAGAACTAGTAAATGCACATAGATACGAACATGCATATTTCTCTCATTTTGACAATTCACTCTTAAAACTCTCAGCTAGAGGTAACAGAAACATTTTATCTCCATATTTTTCCCAAGCACCGAATTTCCCCTATTCCTTTTCCCCTTTTGTGCCGTTATCCACCAAAGCACTCCTCCTGCTCTCCCCCACCGCCTCCATCGCCGGCACAGCACGCAGCTCTGCCCCAG